GTTTAATGTAAACTTGTATTAAGTCCAGTTATTGGAACTACCATGTGTTTCCACTGGAATTCTTCATTCCACCTAGCAGAATCTGTCACTCAATAGCAGATGTGTGTTTTCTATTATTAAAATATTCTGTCTTCTGGGAATTATTGTGAGTTCTAAAAGCTTATGTGCTGTCTCTATGTCCTGTCTGTTGCCATTTCAGGATTCAAGGGCACAGTGATGTCTTGTTTCCTAATAACCTATTTTATGTTTCAGAATATGCTGTTCATTTACATAGCTGGCAGGTTTCAGTTTTCTTATCTTCCCATAGAATCATTATCCCCCAGATTGAAGTTTAGAGATGAAGGATGAGTATCATTTTCTTCCATCCATCTCTTCCCTTTTTTGCTTAAAATTGGTATTTTAGATCCATGACATTAATAATTCACATTATCATAAATTAGAGTGCATAGTAATAATAATTATTAATGATATCAATAGTCCTAGTCATTAATGTATTATAATATTGTGTTGACATACATATACGGAGAAAGATATTGATTGCTGAATAATTAGACTAGTTATGTTACTACTGTCAAAATTTCTTATCAAAAGAGTTTTTTTCTGTTATTGCTTCCATGTTCCGTTTGCAGCTCAAATAACACAGTGTTGTTAGGATGTGGCAAAACCACATACTTTGGAAATAGCACCTTTTTTTTCTGTTGGCATGGATGACACATACAAAAAAATAGAGAAACTCATTTCCTCGTGTTAGAACTCTGGGTAAAATAGAGCTTGTAGAGAAGAGAGCTCAAACAGATGTAAAAGGTGCCATGTTTTGTCCTGGAAGTTAGTATCCTCCTCGGCAAGTTTGCCCTGCCTCTAAGAGGTGCTTTTGGGACAACCAGTGTCCCCACCTTCTCTGTCAGCATTAACTAAGCTCTAGATCATAGTCATCTCCCAGTCTCCAGTGTGGACAGAACATTGGATGGCCACATTTTACTCTCACTACCATTCAGCCTGGATGAATAGATCTAGTGGAAGGCTGGCAGGGGCTTTGGCATTCACAAAAGAACAAATTGATATCTGATCCGGCCAGGGTAGAAATGTAGCACAATGAGAAAGAATGAGTCTTTGGGACTCTGAAAATACAAATACCAATAAATCTAAGACTGAAGAATCCACTTGAAGTCAAAACAAAAAGAAGTGCTAAATTCTCTGTTGGTCATGCGACTTGCTCCTGGCACTCGAGGAGCCAGGAGGCTCTTGTGGTCTAATCTGGAAAGAGTCACTGACTCGTTGTGTCACCTTGGCAAATGGGTAGTGCTCCCTGGGCTGCAGAGCTCCATCCAGCTGCTGGATAGGATGAAAGCAAGACCTCACTGAAACCAGATGCTGCCTCTCCGAGAGGCTTTCAGCAATAAATAATATCTATACTCTGTTCCTGGCGCAGATGCTGAACTGTTATAACCCCTGTTTTCACTTGCTTCTAAATTTCTGGAAATTTCTCCTTCGGGTTTGGATTTTTCCATGCTTGTCTTTGGCCCAAAACCTTTTGGAAAGTTTGAACAATATTTCGTTTAGCTGTTTTTCCTGAGTGATAGAAGAATAGGAGCAAGTCATTGTTTTTTAAAACATAAAGTAATTAAAATTTTTCCTTATATATCTCAGGGAGAAAAAAATGGCTGAGCTTCTAGATTTAAAGTATTTGCAACCAGTAAAAAAAAATAGAAATGAAAGAAATGGCTCAGCTGTTAAGAGCACTTGCTGCTCTTCCAGAAGACCTGAGTTTGGTTCCCAGCATGCAGGACAGGTGACTCACAACCTCCACTCCATCTCCAGTGGGTCCAATGTTTTTGGCTTCTGCAGGGACCTACACAAGCATGTATGTCATGCACACACACACACACACACACACACACACACACACAAACACACACACTTAAAGAATTATGGTATGTTGAAGAATATTAGAAAAAAACTTAGACCTAAGTATATTCTTTTCTTTCAACGAGACCACACATTATCAGGCATCATATTCAAAGATATTCAAAGATATCATCTTAAGGATTTCAAATGATCATGAGAAATTCTTTAGATTCTGTTACCCATTCCCAGTTACCAAGGAGAAATTTGAGCAATCATGTTACCTTTTAAAACCACTTGTTTTGTGCCTGTACACATGATTTCTCAAAAGGCATGGTTACATGCAATAATTTTGAATAGAATAAGATATTTATTTTGAGTGACTTTCAGAGAACCTTTTAATGCTCATAGTAGATCTTGCATCCCTTCATGGAACTTATAGCATGTTACATGCTTATATGGAAACTTCAACCACATCCACTGTCTCACTAGTCTAAAATTTCCATTATAACAGGGCCTATCTCTTTCCCTTATTATTGCCACTGTAGTACTCAACACAGTACTGAGTACATAGTAGGAACTTGATTTTTTTCAATAAATAAAATTACTGTAGGATACTAACCTGTTTTCTACCACTATATTGAAATAAATGACATAGACTACTTATGAACTAAGAAGAGATTTATCTTGGCCCATGTTTCTAGAGGTTCAAGTCCAAGATCAGATAGCCTCATTGGTTTGGACTGTTGGCAAAGGCAATGTGTCAGAGTACACAACAGGGGTATGTGTCAGAGTAGAGACTCTGCTTACATCTCATGCCAAGACAAGAAGAAAGTATCTTATGGGGGGGTCATAAGATCCCTTTAAAGACCACTACTAATTATATGGAGACTTCACATTAGGCTTTGCCATCTGAGGATCCCTGTCACCTTCCAGTATACCCTCCTTGGGCCAAGACTTTACATATTGGCCTTTGAGGGAAAGTCATTCAAAATAGCATGCTGGTGTAATTATTCTCGTTAGATTTTTTTAGTATGTTTGTCTACACAGACATGAGTACATTCAGTGAGCATCATTGAGTTTCTATCTCTTCATGCCAATCAGTAGGGATGTTGAGAATACATCTTGCTTTTGTCAGATCACAGAAATTCTCAAGAACTTATTACTTCTGTATGAAAACAAAATAACTGTACTATTTTGACATCATTACTATACCTGTATTTAAAATATTAGGCAATCAAATGAAAACCAATCCTAAGGAATTTATCAATTTCTGAGCATCTATTAAGTGTCTGGCTTTTCATAAAGTGCTAGGAAGACATAAATTAATAAGACGGTCTCAACCAGGAAGCCATTTAGTTAACCATGGCAAAAGGACAAATCCTGTAGTATTTGTTACACAAAGTGGAAAATAAAGACAAACTCAAGAGCTATAGAGAGATCATTGCCCTACAGGGTACCACGTGAGCACAGCTGAAGATTTTGGAAAAGCTTCATGATACGGTTAGGCAGTTACTTGCAATTCCTTTTATAGTCATAACCTGTTGCCATGTACTGAATTCTTTCAACTTCCAAAACTTATCAAAGCACCTACTACTGGAAAATAAGCTAGAATGAGGCTCCAACTTTTTACATCAATGGCCTTAATCCTTATTATAAAGTACATAATACCCCAAAATAACTTGATACTTTGACAAGCATGGGTAGAATTTGAGTTCTCCCTTGCTCTGCCTCAAGTTTCAAGAACAGATTGTAGTGATTTCGCCAGTCACACACAGTCAACAGTCTTAGACCTCCCTTGTTCTGGAGCATAAAGCTACAAGAGCTAAAGCCAGTAAATTTTTTCAGGATTAAATTCTTCTTCTTCTTCTTCTTCTTCTTCTTCTTCTTCTTCTTCTTCTTCTTCTTCTTCTTCTTCTTCTTCTTCTTCTTCCTCCCCTTCCTCCTTCTCCTCCTCTTCCTCCTCCTCCTCTTCCTGTTCTTCCTCCCCTTCCTCCTTCTCCTCCTCTTCCTCCTCCTCCTCTTCCTGTTCTTCTTCCCCTTCCTCCTCCTCTTCTTCCTCCTCCTCCTCTTCCTGTTCTTCTTCTTCCCCTTCCTCCTCCTCCTCCTCTTCCTCCTCCTCCTCTTCCTCTTCCTCCTTCTTCTTCTTCTTCTTCTTCTTCTTCTTCTTCTTCTTCTTCTTCTTCTTCTTCTTCTTCTATTCTAGGCCTTTCAGGTGTAATTTATAATTTTGCTTCACGAATTAATATTTTTCATGCTGTGATCTCCTCTGAACTTTTAATAACATTTTATTTTAGGTTTTACAGTTTCTCCTGCTAATGATTTTCATCTTCCAAAGAGATTATCTGCTTTAAGAGCAGATCACTGAAGACACTCTTGACACATGCTTTTCTTATTGCCTAGGTCAATGTTGAATTAGTTTAGTTTCTTTTTCTTTCCTTGCAACAACTATTAGAAAAGAAGAGAAAAAAACATTTTTTTGTTTTAGAAAAAGAAGATATGTCTTGGGTTGAGGTACTAGTTCACAAAACGGGCACATGTAAATTAGAGCTAAGTCGATAACCAGAGCAGGTTTTGAAAATAGTCTGGGGCAAAAGGTTTGGCACACTCGTGGATTCTATTAGCTAATTTAAAAATAATTTTGAGACACTTATTGAGTTCTCTAAATTTCAGATGTTGGGCAACAGAAAGGCTAAAGTCATGGTTTTCCTCTGCTTGACTTTTTGGGTGTTACTAATTTATAAACTGGATTTTATGGTAGAGACATTAGACAGGACCTTTGTAACAAAGTCTCTGAGCCAAAATAAACATTCCATTGTTCCATGGTTTTGTATTGCACACAGGAAAACATTATTATTATTTTATTAAATAGATACAGATTATCCAATTTGTAAGAAAAGGTCAGTTGTTAGTTGAGACACTTGGTGTATAAGAGGTAATGAGTGTGGACTGCCAAATTTCTGTCATCGCAAGAAAGAAACATTAATATATCAAAGTATGTTCCTCATTTATTATGTAAGAAATTTATGCATGTTGGTACACACCAGCATAAATGTCAAAGATATTTTCCAGTTTTAATAGTCTTCTGTTAAAATGTTATCCTTCTGTTTGAGGATTAAAAGGGACCATATGAATATAGGTATATCCAGGTTTTTTTTCCATGTCTCCCATTCACAATACAGACCAGACACAATGGCCTATGCTGAGGTGTACATGGGGTAGCTTTAGTCGGCCTCCTCTTTCTATACAGTCAGTGTAACAACATAGCCTGTGGTAAGCACAAGGAGCCCTATATCCAGTTTCAATAGATTTATTTTTCTATTGTTTTATTCTATTATTTTCTACTGTTTTTATTGTTTTATACGTTCTATCTACCATCCATATTGAAACCAACATATATTTAGCCACTAATTACTTCTGTTTATCTTCAACCTTTTTAAATCTTTTTACCTTTTATTGGAATTAGATAATTTTCCTACATATTATATGCTGATTATGGTTCCCTTCCCTCAAACTCCCTTCCTATGAAGATCCACTTCCTTTCTTTGTCTCTCAATAGAAAAGAACAGGGTTCTAAGAGAAAATAATAAAACATAATAAGGTGAAACAAAAACTGTCACATCCCCGAGTTGGACAAGACAGACAGATGTAGTTGTTCTGATTTGTTGTCGCTAATTTAAAACACCACTCTTACCATCCCCAGTTGGTCCTGAAAAGGAAGTGAGGGTCTGATTTTCACTGTCCTGTGATGGAGGAATTGATGCCATTGTGGCTGATGATTGAGCAATTCTTCTTTTCTTCTTCTCCTTCTTATTCTTTTTCTTCCAAAATAATCACACCAGTTTAGTTCCAGAAGCAAGACAAGCCACGGTCATAACCTAGAGTGGCATTGTGGTTTCTTTCTATTTGCCCACATTCTATCTGCCCACCCCATCTCTTTGCTCTGAAGTAGAGAATTTGTCAGAACATGAAAGAATTTAAAAGAAACCCTTACCTTTTCAGGGAGAAAAAAGTAACAGGGATTATAAGAGTTTCTAGATAACTGATGCAATTTATGTGTGGTGGTGAACATTGCTTTTAGCACTAAACCTCTTGCTTACACAAAACTGTTCCAGTTTTGTACAAGATAAACACATTCAACAGTGGATTGTTGGTGCTAGGGCATCCAAACTCTAAAGAGAAGAATAGCTAAATAGAAGGATTATAAGTAAGTAACTGAAACTGGAAGCTGGAAAACATTTGTGATGTTAGATGTTTCACAATAAACGTTTAAAAGAGGCAAAGGCACAGTCCTTTACTCCCAGCACTTGGGAGCAGAGGCAAGCTGACCTTTGTGAGTTTGGAGCCAGCTTGGTCGACAAAGTGAGTTCCAAGATAACCGTGGTTACCCAGAGAAAACCTGTCTTTAAAAAAACAGAAAAACATACAAAAACAAACATTTAAAAAACTATCCAGCCTCACCAATCCTTAAATAACTGCCAATTACAACAATGGTGGATCTTTTTTTGTTGTTTGTTTGTTTTTTGGTTTTTTTCTTTTTAGTTTTATGAGACAGGGTTTCTCTACATTGTTTTGGAGGCTGTCGGTCCAGCCCGGCCTCGAACTCACAGAGATCTGCCTGCCTCTGCCTCCCGAGTGCTGGGATTAAAGGTGTGTGCCACCACCGCCCAGCTAATGGTAGATCTTTATACCCACTAAATTATTGGTCTTAACAGGAAAGAAAAATTGAGCTAGAACCAGTAACTGTGAAATGGAGATGCCCTGTTAGTATGACATGAGTGGAAGTTGGAACAAATGAAAGATATCAGGGGAAGTCTCATTAATTCTACCTTTCTGGGTAGTGACAATGCTTCCGGAGAGCAACCATTAGAGGATAAGTGGAAACACACCAAAATTCCATCCTCCCACCCTCACAAATCCTCCCAAAATTCCATCACCCCAGAGATGTTCACTGTGATATCTAGAGATGTTCACTGTGATATCTGTCATGTTATTGGAAACCAGGCAACTATATTCGTGGACCTACAAAATTTATAATTATCAGATCATAGCAAGAAAACATAAAGAGTCCAGATAGACCTACATAAGCATTCAAGTTTTCATGTGAAGAAACTTATTGTTCTATTCCGTTTGTTTAAACATACAAAGAGAAAACATGATAGAGTTAACTCATTGAATTGATTTCATAGCTAAAAGATGGGTTGTGGCTCACAGTTGAAAAATCACTGGGCTAAATGGCCAACAATCAGTGCATCATGAAATATTAATTTATGTGGTCATTAAATGTTATATCTGCAGTTTTTGTTTATAATGAAGTATGAATGGGAGATACTACATCTTCCTCCACTGAGGAGGAGAGTGCGTCCCAGCATATAATGAAGACTTTTCTGTAAGATAAGACCTCCTCCTCCTCTCATCACCAGCCTCTGATATATCCTTCAGGGATGCCACGTGCTGTTCTAAAGTCCTCTCCCCGCATCCCTTGCAACTTCTGCAAGCAGATGAAGCAGATGGGATGTTTTCTGTTGACCCATATCTGTTGTGTAGAACCTCTCATTAGTCACCCTTTGGTACTATAAATTCATTCACGGCATATTCAGATGATATCAATAAAGCTGGGGTGATTTCATTTGAATTAACAAAGAATAAAAGGTCTTTTTCTAGGGGGGTAGGGGTGAAAATATAGCTGGTAAGTTCTTAGGAAATTGTAATAAATTGTTTTCTAGAAAACAGGGGGGAGACAGTATATCTGGAAAGTACTTAAGAGATTCTAACATAAATGAAACAAAAATCAAAATAAGTAGGGAAAAATTTTATATTTTCATTTTCTTTACAAATTTTATTGGAGGATCTATCTCTTTCTCCTCCTCACTTTCCCTCATCTCTCACTATACATGCATACACATGCTTTTTGGATTTCCATGTTGTGCATTTAATGATAGAAAATCAAAATTGACTCCGTAGAAGTAAAAGCCTTGATTTAGCTCATCTTTTCTAAATAAATACAAAGTGCGCATGACTACAATTCCGTTTGAAGCAGAAGTTCTCAGTTTACCCTGCTCACATTATCTCAGAGTACACTGCTTCGTTTTCAAGCGGTCTGTAGGGAACCAGTACAGAAGCCTAGAGAGGGACAGCCCAGGCTCATTTTCTACATGTCCTCTTTCCTGTTCTCCTGGTCAAAACACTTTTTTTAATTTAATGAATCCCCTAGTGGCTTGAGATTTGAAATTTTGGTTTGGGGTAACATGGGACAGAATGTTATTTATTTTCTTTATTAGGCCAAAGTAATGTTCTTATCTAACAAGGACTTTGCCTCTGCCAAGTCCAATAATTTTCCCCAATAAAACTGACAAGTTCTAACTATTCCAAATACATCTGGCTTCAACAGTGAAATAGGATTTATCACTCTCTTGAAAAAGGAGAAGTTATTTTTGAAGATTCATTTTAAAAGGCAAATGCAGACATTATACACTTATGTGCATTCTTTTTCTATAAATATTTTAGCAACATTTTAAAGTATGTCGTTACACAAGTTTTTTTTTTCACTCATTCCCTCTTCTTGTACACTGGAATCTGAAACATAAGGAGAAAAGGGTTCCCTTTCAATGATACATTCAGAAGATCTCAATCTGCATAGTAATTGTCACTCTTCAGGATCAAACAACATTCAATCCAATAGGAGAAGCAAAGGGGATGTTCATTTCCCCTAAATCACATGCCGTGTCTACTCACCAGGACATAGTCATATGACCAAGGTTAGCTGCAAGGTTGTCTGTGAAATGTCTTTTACTGGTTCCTGTTGTTAATTCAAAGTAGACAGTGTACATAAGAAGGCAACTAGTAACATGTACTTTTAGCATGTTACAGATTGCTGCACTAATCCTATGAATAAAGTCATTTATATGTTTATTCAGAAGGTATAACTATGGTGTGTGTGTGTGTGTGTGTGTGTGTGTGTGTGTGTATGTGCGCGTGTATGTAAACATAAATTGTAAAGAGTTAGGAAAGCATTCCAGTCTAAATTAGAATGGTGTCTAGGACTTGGGCATTTCCAATAGAAAAGACAATGAGAAGTTAATAGACTCGAAATTAACTGAAAAGGCAACTTGGAGAGATGAAATGTGCAAAAAGGGTAGAGAAATCCTCTAGGTAAGACCTAGACTTGTGACATGTAGTACAAACTATGGAGACAGTTATTTGTGGGTACCTGTGTTTTGTTTTACAAATGTGTCCTATCGGCATCAACCTTCCTGTTTCTGTGTGTCCAACACATAATTTCAAAGCAAACTAATTACAGAAAAATCACTGAAATTCTCAACACTAGTTACTGTTAACTACCCAAATGAATACTTTGTCTAGGGCTTCTTATTCTAAAGGAGTTTGGATATGTCATATGTCACAAAAATAGTTCATCGTATATCTACTTCAAAAAGCTAACTACGGTGACAGATCTAATAATCAGCACATTAATTCTGTCAACAATCATGGATCACAAAGTCTTCTTGTGATAATAATATGGATAGAACTGTTTTTCACACAATGGATTATTCCTCTCAGTCTTGTGTGTGGAGTTATTCAGCCCATACTTATTGGGAACCATGATTGTTCTAACTACATGAGTAGTTACAAGAACTATGGCACAATTCCAGATCTTGAAGTCATCCTTTTGTATTTTGTATTGTTCACATATTTAATTTGATAAATATTTGATAATTTGTACTTTCTCTTGATTTGTGACCTTTTTCATCTGAGAGAGTTCAATCATAATGTAATTAAAAAACATATAACAAACAAAGAATAGATGTGGTCATCTGTAATCACACCACCCAGCAACTAAAGATTGAAGCAAGAGGATCAAGAGTTCAAGGTCATTCTGGGCTCTATAACAAATCTTTTCTTGGAAAAATTCCTCAAAAATATATTTAAGTGCATGCTCCTTTTCAGTGAAATATTCTTTGATGGTCAGGAGCATTGGAGAGTTGAGATGAAGAAAGAAAACAATACATAGGACACACTAAAAGTGTTCTAGTTAAAGACACTGTTACAATGAATAGTTGGAGGACAAGATTTAAAATTACCCAATTATTGTATTCCATCTATCTAGATGAAAATCATGATCTGCCCTGAGCTCTAATATTCAACTCTTCTTAAACGATCTTGTGGCCTCAGCTACACGTTAGCACAGGTTGACCTTCACTTCAGCTGGAAGCACCTAAAATGTTCTGGGCATAGATCAACAGCTGCATTCAATGAAGCCATCATCTGGTACCAGGTGTGTTCCAGAGAG